AAAGCCCACTAATGCCAGGCAGGTAACATCAGATGGGCGGTGTGTGATAGAAGAGTGCTGGCGACTCTGATGAACAGAAGCATCCTACCTTTTCTATAGCGCAGGTGGCACTTACCTTTAGCTAGCTGTTGCCAGATAATGCCAGCCCAGTGTTGCTAGATATTCCATTTAGATTTTTTAAAGAAGAATTAAAAATCCAAATTTTTTAGTGAAATGTCCTATTTTAAAATATTGGCAACCCAATTCAAAATTTAAACAAAAAATCTGAATTGTAGGCCAAAACATATCTGCGGGCCAAATCTAGCCCTGAATCTGCCTGTTGAAATCTCTTGACAACACTTTAGCCAGATAATCGCTCAATTTAAGTCAAAATGATGCAATCAACAGCCCTCTTGACTGGCAGCATCACACTGTCTCTGCGATGTGAGGCTCTTTGGGGTTCTGGCTCACACCCAGCTTGGCATGGGCTAAGTGCGCTGAATGGGGAGGAGCGGGGGAGTCAGGAGACCTGTTTCCTAATCCCTGCTAACAACTTGATAGGTGACACTGGGAAAGAAATTCTCTCCCTGGTCATAGGATTTCTTTCCATAAGGTAAGAGGGATGATCTCTATTGTTCTTTCCAAAGTTCTAGGTCATTTTTCTCATGAAGATTTATGTACTTATTATCTTCCAGCTACTCAGAAAAAAACCTTTTCAGATGAAGTTGAAAATTCACCTTTAATTGGCTTGAGTGACAACCAGTTCTTTCTTTCCCATATTCTCCTATGTCTTCAGTGATTTGTGTTTGCAGGGAAGTTTCTTTTTGCTGTAGGCTTTGGAACTATTTTCTAAGGGAAAGAAAGCATTTTGGAATAGAAAGTCTGAGTGGGGTTGAGCATATGGGTTTCTTACTTGCTGAATACTTGGTTTTGAGTCAAATAAAAAAATAAAGGAATGGAGTTGTTATGTGGAACATTCTGAAGTAAAAAGCCACTTCCTTGAACTTGATAGTTCAAATAAAAACCTTGTAATTGAATCTTTTCCCCTCATAGGTTTATTGAGATATAATTCACATACAATAAAATTGACCCACTTGGCCGTGTGCGGTGGTTCACGCCTGTAATTCCAGCACTTTAGGTGGCCGAGATGGGAGGATTGCTTGAGGCCGGGAGTTCAAGACCAGCCTGAGCAACATAGTGAGACCTTTCTCTACAAAAAAATAAAAAAAAAAACAAATTAGCTGGGTGTTGTGGCATCGGTTGGGCCTGTACTCCCAGTTATTGAGGCAGATCCCCTGCCCTCCACCCTTTTTTTTTTGAGACAGAGTCTCACTCTGTCGCCTAGCTCACAGCAACTTCAAACTCCTGGGCTCAAGCAATCCTCCTGCCTCTGCCTCCCAAGTAGCTGAGACTACAGGTGCTAACCACCACTCCCAGCTGCTTTTTTCTATTTTTAGTAGAGACGGGGTCTCGGGTCTTATTCGGACTGGTCTCAAACTCCTGACCTCAAGCTATCCTCCTGCCTCAGCCTCCCAGAGGGCTAGCATTACAGGCGTGAGCCACCACGCCCGGCTGAAGCAGATCCCTTGAGCCTAGGAGTTTGAGGCTGCAGTGAGCAATGATCACGCCACTATACTCTAGCCTGGGCAACAGAGTGAGATCCTGTTTTTGGAAAAAAAAAAAAAATTCGCCCACTTAAAGTATACAATTCAATGCTTTGTAGTACATTTACAGAGCTGTGCAATCAACTCTACTATCTAATTTCAGAACATTTTCAACTCCACAAAAGAAACCCTGTATCTTCTATCAGTTGCCACAGTCCCGGCAACCACAGATCTACTTTCTGTCTCTATAGATTTGCCTATTCTGGATCTTTCATATAAATGGAATCACATAACATGATCTTTTGTGTCTGTCTTGTTTCATTTAGCATGTTTTCAAGATTCATCCACATTGTAGCTCATATCAGAAATTCATTCCTTTTATTGCCAAATAATATTCCATTGCATGGATATACCACATTTTGTTTGCCCATTCATGAGTTGATAGACAATTGGGTTGTTTCCACTTTTTGGCTGTTATAAATAATGTTGCTATGAACATTCACAAACAAGTTTTCATGTGGACAAATGCTTTCATTTCTCCCAGGTATGTATAACTAGGGGTGGAATTTGCTGGGTTGTGTGGTAACTCTACACTTAACCTTTTTAGGAACTGCCATACTGTTTTCCAAAACAGTGACACTATTTTACATTTCTACCAACAGTGTATGAAGGTTCCAATTTGCCACGTCCTTGTCAACACTTGCTATTATCTGTCTTTTTGATTATAGTCATCCTAGTGGGTGTGAAGCAGTATCTTAGTGCACTTTTGATTCTGCAATTGAATCTGTTCCTAATTGGTCTGACTTAGTACACATGACCATTCTTCAACTAATTATGGTGGCCCTTGAAGGTTAGTAATCATAAGTGAAGTAGGGTCAACCCTAGGAGCTGGGGGTTAGGGGTCACTCACACCCAAACTACAGAGAGGAAATCTGGGGAACAGGAAGAAGAAATGGATGCCTTGGGGGAAACCAACATATGCTTCCTACAGATGGGTTTGCTTGTTTGGTTTTCTGAACACCGTCTTGTACACAGGAATCGTAGTGGTGCAGAGGATGAAGAAAAAAAATATCTTGGTCAGGACCCAGGTAGAGAAGAAGCTCAACATATAGGTTCTTGAAAATGGGGTTTCTCCCTGGAAATTTTAGTCAATGGGCACATATGTGCTCACTAGCTTGTATTTATTTCTGTCTCTTCTTTTCCTTTTACTGGCCAAACTATCATCAGGCTTAGAACCCTCTGAGTGCTCCTCCACCAGAGTAACAGAATACTAAGGAATTTATTACAATTGTTTCAGGACCAATACCTGATTTCCCCCACCCTAAATGATTGTGGCTGATATAACTATATTATATTGCTCAGGGAATACCTTTGTTTCATTTGGATATTCTTGAGGTTTGATAATACTTCCATGTCTTCTTGAAAGGAGAAAGATTTTGGATTATACTTTAGAAGGGACAGGCATAAAGAGGACTCTTCATGGCCATCTTTTTTTTTTTTTTGTCCCTACTCCATGAGAAGTCTTCTAATGGCCATCTTTTTGTTCCTGAAGGCTTATGGGAAATTTCAGGGCTAGGCACACACTGAGAGGCATCCCTTGAAAGCAGATAGCTGGCCCTTTCTCAGCACTTCCTTGACATGGGTTCCTCTTTCTTTTTTTTTTCTCCTTTCTCTTTTCACTTTGGTAATAATATTTGTAACTGAGGCTTTTCTGATACTAGTGCTATGTAACAAGTATCACCTCTGCCCCCCCAAAAAAGGTGCTTAAAACAACCATTTTGTACCACACTAAAATAAGCTAAAGAGATTTGACAACTAAATGTAATGCTTGAACCTAGACTGGATCCTGTACTGGGGGGTGGGAGGGTGGGAAATGTTCTAAAGGACATTATTGAATTAACTGACAAAACTGGAATATAACTGGTAGATTAGACAAAGGTATTAATATCCATGTTAAATTTACTGAAGGAGAGAGAGAGAGAGAGACAGACAGAGAGAGGAGAGAGAACAATAAAGCAAGTAGTGAAAAATTTTCACAATAAGTGACTTTGGGTAAAGGGTGTATGGATGTTCTTTGTACTTTATATATTGAAATTATTCCCAAACAAAAAGCTTTTAAAAAGCACAATCAGCTTACAATTTTATTTTGCTCATGATTTTGTGCATCAAGAATTCGGGAAGGGCTGGGCTGGGCAGTTCTTGCTTGGGCTCTCCCAGTAGTTACAGTCAGATGCCAGCAGGGCATGCAGTCATTAGAAGGCTGGATTAGGCTAGGCCAGGTGTCCAAGGTGTCTCAATGAGATGGCTGGCAGTTGAAGCTGGTGGTCTGATGGGAGCTCAGCTTGACTTTTGACTGGCATGCCTACACGTGGCCTCTCTAGCATGACAGTCTTACGGTAGTCAAACTTCTTAGTTTGTTACTCCCACCCTACATAAAGCTGTGATGCCTGCTACATTTGATTGAACTGCCATACACATAATCACCTTTTATTCATAATCGCCGGCATGTAAACTCCCCCAACTCATTCAAAATCAGGTGACACAATTCTTTCCTCCTCAGCTCTGACTTTTACATATGTTATTTTCTTTCTCTGGAATACCTTTCTTCCAGTTATTCATCTGTCTATATTATTTGTTCTTTAGGGCTTTTAGGAAGACTTCCCTGACTCTTGGGTGAGTGATTCTCCACTGGGCACACCTATAGCCCTTATCGTAATGTCATAGTTCTCCTGTTGTCCTATGGGTCTCCTTCATTGGACTCTAAGTTCCCTGAGGGTAGGGAGCAATTTTGTACATGAAAGCATCTCTAGCATTAAGCACAGTGCCTGTTATGCACTATAAGTGCAAATTAATCTCTCACACTCACACTCCTCATATGCAATACTGACACATACGAAATCTGTCACATCCACTCTTGCCCATGCAAGCTCAATCACTGTGACTTATTCCCCACGCTCAGGCATTGTCCCATCCCTCAGGCACTGTCACCACCCCTTACCCATCACACGCTCAATTACTGTGACAGAGTTCTATTCCTCAATCACTGTCACATACTGCTTTTCACACAAGTATGGTCACCATCTGTACTCTTAAAACAGGATATTTACTCTCCTACAAATTGAGTTAATATGCCAACAGCTCTATTTTCCACACACGTCGTCACATACTGTATTTTTCATCCACGCAATCCCTGACATACACAATTATGGTCATACACTGTCTTACTGTCTCCTTCCCACTCCCACTTGACACCCACACTCTTTCACGCACACATTCATTGGCAGGGATCAGCGGCACGTCGGCGGGGGTCTGAAGCCTGGGTCAAATCCCGAACCTCAGCCCCAGGCGGGCGCGGCCCCGCCCCGCCCCGCCCCCTCATGCATATGCAGCACCTCAGTCTGGCAGCCCGGCCCCCAGACGGCCATTTGTAGCGGCGCTGGAGGCTGCGTTCGGCAGGCGCTGCGGAGACGCGTAGAGGAGCGCGCCCCCCGGCCACTGCCGCCCCTGGCCGCTGCGGTCACCCCGCTTCTCCGTGCCTCGGGCGGGACCCTGCCAGCCCCCGGCGCCGCGCCGTCGCGCGGACCGGTCCTCCCGGCAGCTCCCGGCGCCCGGGACCCCCGCCCGGCCGCTCGCCCGTAGTCCGCCGACCGCACACGTCCCCGGAGCCGGGCCTAGGGCGGGCGGCGGCGGCGGCGGCGGCGGCGGCTCGTCGCGGCCGGGCTGGGCTCGGAGACGTCCCCATGGCCGCGGCCGGCTGGCGGGACGGCTCCGGCCAGGAGAAGTACCGGCTCGTGGTGGTCGGCGGAGGCGGCGTGGGCAAGTCGGCGCTCACCATCCAGTTCATCCAGGTGCCTGAAGCGGGCCTGCCGGGGGCGCCGGGGCGGCGGCGGGCGGGGGCTCGCGTTACCTGTGGCGGGGCGGCCGCCGCGACCCCGCCCCGAAGGCGCCGCGCGGGCCGGGGCCCGGGCAGGGGCCGCGGCCGGGGGCCGGCGGGCGCGGGGCCGACTCTGCGCCCCTGCCTGCTACGCGCCCCGGGAGTCGGGCTTCTCAGGAATGTGGTCGGGAGGGCGGAGCTGGCAGGGTGGGAGCACCGATCCACCTTATCGCCCTGGCCGAGGCCAGAGCCCTCTGCGAGAGGCAGCGCCGCCGAGCCAGGCTTCCTGCCCCGAGGGCTGGGGCGTGGGGTGTCGGGCTGGAGCCCCGCGCGCTGCTTTTCCAGCAGCCTTCGGCCGCCTCCGGCACCGTCGGTGCGATCGTGGGGGCAACTTGGCGGCGGCTCGGCGTGCTCTACCGGCTCTGCGCGCCGCCTGAGCCGGAGCTGCCCGCTTTGAGCAGTGTGTATGTCTTTGTGTGTGTTTGCGCTTTTCTTCTAAGTGATCTCTGAGGTAATATGTCCGGGTGAGAGTGTGTGATAATGCCCCAGGGAAGTGATAGCTTCGAGGAAGTTAAAAATGTTCCCTCGTAGGGGTGAGACCATTTCCTAGGAATTCCTGGTGCCTTCCTGCTTCTCGCCGTGCCAAGGTGAAGTTTGGGATGGGCCAGCGAGTCGTGCCGTGCGTTCTGTATTCTAACCACCCTTTCCCCCACCCCCAACCCTCTCTGGTTGCTACTGGCGGAAAGTCAGGGGTTGTGGTAAAGAAGAAAAAGGAGATGGAATTCTTCATTCTTAGAATTTGCTCTTGGTGAGACGTTTGAGTGATATTTTTGGGGGATTTTTAAAAAGAAAGCACAGATATCGCTCTGCTTTTGTCAACCTAGGTGTGGCATATGCTGGAAGAGAACGAAGGTACCCCGATATAACAGGTTAACAAAGATATTTTTACTATATCAAGAGGGCTGATGGTGAAATATTATTCTGGCTTCCGTTTCATCCATTTGTCATTAATTGGGATACTTGAATAGCTTTATTTCATTTCACTTAAGGTTTATAGTGACTGTAAAATACAGAATATTGTAACATATGTGATTGTCACCTTTCACATTGAGTAAATGAGCAGTAATTGCTGCTGTAATATTCCATGGCATTAAAAACTACTGCTGAAACCTTTGTAACCAGGAAGAGAGGATGTTTATGTTATAAGCATTTACAGCATGCTCATTAGTGGGTTAAAAAAAAATCATAGTAAGAGGTGAGATTGGTTTAAGTTTACCAGTATCAGAGATACTGTCATGTTGTTATTTCCCTGAGGCGGAGAGACTTTAACTGATGGCAAAGCAAAACAATTTATAGCTAACCCTTTCTTCTGGGACTAGTCTGATGGTTAGTGTGTGTGTGTGTGTGTGTGGGGGGGGGGCAGTTGAGTTAGTGGGAGAACAATCCTGGGTTCCAGTATTGATAGTGTTACCTAAAAGATTTAAACCACAAATATTTAAGGTTTTTTGAGGGAGGGGCCATCTGAATGTATTTGCATCTGTAAGTTAATTATTTAACTAAGGTGCTGGAACTTTTTGTTTTTGGGAAATAGTATTAGAAGCCATTATGACAACAGTAATTGCTATCTTCTAATGATTTTCTAGAATTTATTTGTTAAAGAAATATCTCCCTTACAAATGATGTAGTACCTAAGATGCTTTAGATAATATCAAAGAAGTAAAGGAAGCAGGTATTCTTGAGAAAGATGTACATATAATGAGTATGAGGTTTGAGTTATACAGGTTGAGCGTATGTGTCTTTCATTCTGTCATTTATTGGCTGTGAGAACATTGCCAAAGTATTCAGCCCCTCTGAGCCTTAATTTTCTCATCAAGAAAATGGGTCTTATATGTTCTTTATAACTTTTAGGTTATGAGAAAGATTGTAGCATTGTATATAGCAAATAGCAAATAGTATGTGCTCAGTTAATGGTAGCTATTATCAGTATGTAGGTGTACAGTTCTGTAGCATGCTTAAGTAAAAAGGGAATTCAGATTTAGAAAAGTCAGTGTGAGGATTGACAAAAGCCCTATGTAGGCTTGGTGGTGGGGAGAATAGAAATGTCATAAGTGAGTACGGGGGAGTCTTTTGTAGCTCGGAGAGAGGAGGCAAGCAAAGAGGAAAGTGGGATTGACAGGTGACTTGGGGCCATTGAAAGGGAGGAACATAGCCTCTGAAGTTGAGGAGACTTTCTGGAGAGGCAGGAACCAGACCACCTGGATGAAGTCTCAGTTCTGCTATTTGCTCAACATATAATCTTAGGCAAGTTACTTAAACTCTCTGTGCCTCAGTTTCCTCCATCTGTAAACTGGGGAAATATTAATACAATGTACCATATACAGCTGTGAAAATTAAGTGAGTTAATGTATGTTAAGGGTGCAGAATAGTGTCTAGTACAGTACATAGTAAAGCTGCAAACATTATTATTACATTAATTTTAGTTTATGGAGCTAAAGTAACTTTATCATCTACACTTAATAGAGTTGCTATTTATTGTCCGACTCCTGGGAAGTTAAAATCATTCCATTGTGATTGTCGGGTAGTAGTAACTGGTGGGAGAGGAGACAGCAGAGTAATCATTTTAACAAGCAGGAGTCAGTTCTCTTTGTAGGAGATCAGGATGGCACAAAATGGTTTTATTTATTTTTAAGGGTTCTGAAATACCACACTGTTTTTACACCTTTCAGTATATTTCTGTTATGTAATCTTGAGCAGAAGAAATATTATAAATAAATTTGGGAATGGCGAATTTAAAAACAATGCCTTTAGTCCTTTCTTTGACCTTAGATTTAGTTGTTACCTTCTCTACATGTGAAGACCTGCTAAATTAGGAAATTAAGGTAATAAATTGAGTACCTTTTCCTCTTTAAAATTGAATATAACAGGTCATAAAAATCAACGATAACAACGTGAAGTATTATGTTGTTATGAATGCATGATCTCCTTGTTTCTGTTGCTCATAGTTTTTTAAAAAATATGTAAAGTTCTATTGGTAGATAGAACACCTAAGTGATGAGTTAACGCTAATTAGGAAATGATTTTAACTTTGTACAAGTGGATGGGATGAGCGAGACATTTGGATACCTGGGCGGCTAGTTCTCCCTACTTAGGTGACTCTGGATAGTCTATTAATCTCTCTTAATCTCTTCATGGCTTCAGTTTCTTCATATAATGTTGGGGTTGGTTGAACAGATCTCTGCACCTTTGTAATTCTAGGATTCTGTCTTATTTATTTAACTAGCTGTGTGTCTTTGGTCAAGTGTCTTAGATTCTCTAAGCCTCCCTTTTCCCATTTGAGAAGGGAAAAGAATAATAGCACCCTTAGGGTTTTTGGAGTAAATAAAATAATGCATGCAAATCATTCAATACAGTGCCATCTACAGAGTAAGTAAATAATGATTGTTATCTGGTTTTATTTGCTGCTGTTACTTCTGTATCTCGGTGTTCCTCCAAAACAAAATTTGTAATTTATTAATTTTTTCCTTAACATATAATCTGTTCTCTTATTTTAAGTCTTCACCGCTCTCTATTCCCGCTCCCACCCATACTCCCCACCCCACTTCTGTGTGGTATTTAGGTGATGAATGTTGGTTACATTTTGAGCTGGGGAAACTTCTTATCAGTTCAGAGTTGATTTTAAGAAATAATGGAGTAATCATTGGGTTTTTGGGTTAATGCTTTGTCTGGCATCTCTGAGAAGAGATTATGCATGGTTTACAAATTTTAAGAGAAAATTGCCAGTTTCTATTTTTTTAGCATCTTAACTTTTTATTCAGCGGGTTGTTAGATTTTGAGCTAGGTAGGGGATAGCTGATTTCTCACATCTTGAATTTTAGTCAGTCTTAAAATCTGTTAATTAGCCTGGACCTGACTCAAACATTGCTTTTTACCTAGAGTTTATCTTTTGCTGAATGCTTTTTTTTTTTTTTTTTTTTTTTTGAGACAGAGTCTCACTCTTTTTGCCCTGGCTAGAGTGGGTGCGGTGGCGTCAGCCTAGCTCACAGCAACCTCAAACTCCTGGGCTCAAGCGATCCTCCTGCCTCAGCCTCCCGAGTGGCTGGGACTACAGGCATGTGCCACCGTGGCCGGCTAATTTTTTTCTATATATTTTTAGTTGTCCGATTAATTTCTTTCTATTTTTAGTAGAGACGGGGTCTCGCTCTTGCTCAGGCTGGTTTCGAACTCCTGAGCTCAAACAATCCGCCCGCCTCGGCCTCCCAGAGAGCTAGGATTACAGGCGTGAGCCACCGTGCCTGGCCAGGCTGAATGCTTTTTGATTGTTTTTTTCCTGGGACACAGCTGAGGAGAGATTGCAAGAAGTTTGTGTTAATAGTTAATTGATCCACTTGTGAAGGCTGTGAGTTTAAATTCCTGAATTACTGTTTCATTGGTACATCTTGAAGACTCTTCCTTTAATTAGAAGTTACTTAAATTGTAACGTCTAGACTTATTTTTAGCATGCAAATTATTGTTTTACATTAATTTACAAATGAATTGTTAGCATTGATTATTGTTGCACATTAATTTACAAATGAATTGTTAGCACTGAAAAATAAGACACCTATCCCAAAGGTAGTACATAGTGGAGATTTCCTTGTTTGAGTAACAGTTGAAATGGTCCTGCAGGCAATTCCTAGATAAAATTTTGAGACACTTGGGGAAGATCATTTTCTTATAGAGGATGACTGCCTTTGTCACTGGAGAAACAGGAGGAAATTCTAACCTGGGTTTTCTTGACTTAAAGTCCTTGTTCTGTGTTCTGTCCTGTGTGTGTGTGTGTCTGTGTCTGTGTCTGTTTGGGGATGGAGAAGTTGTAGGAGTTTAATGGGGACACTTCTGTTGTATAGGTCAAGAATGCTGTTTTCCCTTGGTAGATGGCAGGCTACTACTTACTGGGATGGGATTTTAATTCATCTGTATTGCTGAAAGGTCATG